GCACCTGATCCAAGATTTGGTTAACAACTCAGATCCTTTTCTGTTTTGTTCCTATTTATTAATCAGCATTTAGGTTGGCTTTTTACAACATTGTATTTAATATTTTCATATTTATATAAATATTCAGGTTGACTATTTTTAATAATATTGGTTGGTCACCCATTTCTTAGAATATTTGACTAATAAATTCTTCCCCAACAACCTGTAATATGGTGGGTGAACTTAAAACCTTTTCTTTCAAGAATAATTGTATCATGAATTTTTAATGGCTAAGTGTCTCCTAGGGATTATTAAACTCCACAAAGGGATATGGCTCTTCCCTTAATGTGGGCCTGGCACGTGGCATATGATTGTTAATGATGATAACAAGGATGGTTAAATATCTATTAAGAGGAATCATAGTAACCAGGATGAACTATGGTATGACATTGGGCAAAAATATATCTGCTTAATCTATTTTAGGTCACATCTACCCTAGATGGTACATGTTGTTACTGCCATTAAAAATGGCAGGGGGGTCAATTTGCTATCTCCATTTCTTCTGAGACAGCTCAAAGCTTTGAGTTTCCTCTGACATGGAGGAAAAAAAAATGAAGTGATTTCATCATAATTAACTAGACAATTTTTTTAGGCTATTGCCAGTAACAAAGGAACTTGGACTCCTGCTGAGACAATATTACATTTTCATTCCAAAGACTTTCTACTTAAGTCTCAAATCATTTGAGGTCATCTTGTTACTTGTGCCAGCGGACTATGTAAAAGGCACATGGGCAGAAATACATAGTATTTCCTTATTATGACCATGGATTCAGAAATGCAAAGAAAGGGACATCACTGCTTTAGTTTTGATACCAGTTGTGTGCATCGCATCACAGAGTTCCAAATAAAAAGTCCTCACATAATCCCTTAGAGTTGAGAGACTCCAGTTTTAGGGGTTTCCAATCATATTCTCATCTTGGGTAAAAGATAACCATTGGTTATGCTTTTATAATCCAATACCGGGCAGGTTCCACAGAGCATCTTCACATGACAAAGAACAAGTTTGAAGACTTACTCGGGACCACAGAAAAACATTCTCCCAGGCTGGAAAGGCTCTGCTGCCACAAAACATAAAATTACCTCTGATATGACTTAAGCAGGAAACAAATTCATTACCCAAGTGTCATCCTTATCTTATTTTTTAGTTAAAAGGAAAATATCCTATATTTCCCCATTAAGGATAATTTTAGTTATAGGTTTTTCGTAGGTATCCTTTATTAGACTAAGAATATTTCCTTCTATTGCTAGTTTGCTGAAAGATTTAAAAAAAAATCATAATAGACTTTGAGTTTATAAAAGGAGAGATTTAAAGTTTTGTTTTTTTATATTTAGGTCTTTATTCTACATTAAATTAACCTATGCATGCTGTGATATCGACAGTTGTCCTAGAACCATTTATTGAGTAGTCTAGCCTTATCCATTATGAAGATTCCACTGCCATATGAAATTTCCATATATGCATAGATGCTGTTCCATGGGCTATTAGCCTGTCCTTGCACAAGCGCTACACCATTTTAATTACAGATTCTTTTTGACTAACAAAGGATTCATGTCATGATAAACTCACCATAAACTGAAACTATCATAAGTCAAAAATGCAATTAATACTCCTAACCTACTGAACACCATAGCTTAGCCTAGCCTTCCTTAAGTGTAATCAGAACACTACCATTGGACTATAGTTGGGCAATTATGTTGATTTTTCATCTCAAGAGTAATTACCTTCCTCTTCTCAGTAGAAGCAAGGAGACAAATGGGCATTTTGTAGCCATGATGGGAAGTGAAAACACAAGATTCAAATAACACCAGCAACATAAGATCCTGTAGAGTATCAGTAGTTTACCCTCATGTTCTCATGGCTGACTTGAAGCTGTGGCTCACAGCCCCTGCCCAGCATCAGGAGAGTATTGTACTGCATATGGTTATTCCAGGAAAAGGTTAAAGTTCAAGTTCAATGTTTTGTTTCTACCAAACGTGTTCCACTTTCACTGGTAAAGTCAGGGACTTGTCTGTATTATGACTTTACAATGTCTTGATATCTGAAAGTCACTGGCCACCTCTCCTCCCCAAACTTTCCCATCTTCTCCTGCAAAATTGTTTTGGCTACCTGTTCCAGTGCATCTTACTTGTGATTTTAAAATCAGTTTGTCATTTGTCATGGAAATCTTTGAGGGGATTTTACTTCATTGCATTAATGGATTAATTTAGAAAAATTGACATTTGCTATATCAAGTTGTCCCATCCTTAAACAAGGTTGATTGCTTTATTTGCTTATTTTTATTTAATTACTTTTCAACAACGTTTTGTTATTTATTTCCAAAACTCACACATCTTTTTCTCCAGGTCTCTTTTTTGTTACTTTAATATTTCTAATGTTACATTTTAATTTTGTTATTACTGGTGTACAGGAAAACAACTGGTTTCTATAAGTTTATCTTTTTTTCAGCAACTTCATTGAAATTTCTCTTATTCTGTCCCAAGAATTGACAAGAGAGTTTTTAGATTTTCTGCTATAGGGAGTCATATTTCTTAGAAATAATAATTGTTGTCACTTTCTTTCTGATTCTCATAATCAGAATTATAAAGTGCCATAGTAAATTGAAGTAGATTTAGTGGCATTCTTGTCTATTTCCAACTTTTAAAAAGTACTTCTAATGTTTCATATATATATATATATATATATATATATATATCGGGCCTAAACCAACAGTCAGACATCCCCCAAGGGATCCCTGATTGAAGAGGGTGCAGGCTGGGCTGAGGGAATCCCCACTCCCCCCAGTGCACGAATTTCATGCAGCAGGCCATTAGTAAGTAAAGAAAAAGGAAATCTTTCTGGTGTCCCTAAGGCTGTTGGCAGGGTATATATACAACAAACACTTGCAGAGCAGAGAACTTACTACTCAGAGACAGCAAGATCACTTCTGATTTGAAGCTCAAAGTTTGATGTGCTCATGTGAGTGATGGTGGAGTTTACAGACATATCTGTCCTAAAAAATCTAAACCCTGAAATATGTAGTCCCAGTTTTTTAGGACCAATTATCATTTATTTTATAATAATTTTTGTTGTGCTAGATCAAATAAACCGAATCATTTGTTTATTTCAAATACTTGCAGTGAATTAGAAAATATTTTGCATTTCAAAAGATTTTTTTTCTTTTGTCATTGAAAGTGCATTTCAAGACAGGAAGAAAAACCACAAAATACTCAAATACATGACCTAAGTTTTTGGCAGCTACAAAGAGACAATTTAATTTTTTTTTTTTCATATATCAGTTACTTACAAGTCTAACTATCAATGGACTTAAAATGTGTGTGGTTTATAAATGTTTTTAATTCCTATAAAATCTGTTCCAAATATATAACCAAGGTGGTTAAAAAAAATCATAATTGCTTTTCTGGGCTTTGAGCGAATTTAATACGTATAAAGTGAAATTAGCATTCAATCCCGTGACCAAGAGAATGATACTGACTAGCAATATCAATGACAAATCTTTAGATGTGGCACAGGGAGGGTGATAAACTTCCACTGCCGTGGCTGGGGTTCATACATATCTGGACACCTGATAGACCACTGGGGTAGCTGGTCAGATGTCTGTGTGTGTGTGTGTGTGTGTGTGTGTGTGTGTGTGTGTGTGTGAGGGTGGGGGTCCTAAAAACTCTGCTTAGGAATGTTTCGTACAATAAACAGAAACTCAGTCCTTGGTGGGTGATAGGTATTTTGAGAACTGGAGAACTAATATTTTTGCTAGCCCAGCTCTTGGGTCCATAGTGGAGCCCAGAAAAGAGACAGTTTTAGACAAAACAGCACTGTCTGTTGACCAGTCTATAGACTTGGTCACACAGCTTGGTACTGAGAGCCAAAAAGCCCTGCTCTGGGGCCTCTCCACCAAATAGTGACACCCAAGGAGAAAGATGGCTGATCTCCCCATCCTGCCACATGGAATTAGTGGGCTGGGGGCTGTGCCTCCTGACCTTTTAGAGGAGCAGCACAAAAGGACAGTCAGGCAGGGCAGTGTGGAATGGAGGCTGTTCCTGGGGCCTTGAGGGCAGCAGCCACAGAGTTTGCTGGGCTCAGGGTGGTGGTGGTGGACACCACCACAGCAGGCCCTGTCAGGAAGCATGGAGAGGACAGCAGCAGAGGCTTGTGGTCTGGCTGGGCACCGCAGGAAGAGAACACATTTAGAACTCCCTTGGGGACTCTGGGAAATACTTTTTCTAGAAGCATTTTGCAGGGGGTTGACATTCAACATGAACATGTAGGAAGGGACATGTAGGCCAAGATACTCATGGACCTCACACAGTTTTATTAATGGGTACTGGGGACAATTTGGTGCGTATCAAATAATACCATGTACTCTTCTCTTATCCCAAATTAAAAACAAACATGGTTTCTGATAGATCTGAAAGCAAAGGAAAAAAACACAAGACAAAGACAATATTTTGACTGGACTAACCTTGATCTCTTTCATTCAAATGTAAAACGGTTAACAGTGGTGTCCTGGTTTGAGTTTTTGTGATAGCATTTAACACAAATCAACCTCCAATAACGTTCACATTTAAGAAGTCTTTACACATTTCCTGGTGTATTTTAGCTAACATTTCTTGCTTTTGGAAACCAAAGGAAGAAGAGGTTTTCCATCTGTCACCGAGAACAGTACAGACAGACAGGCTTAGCCTGGTTGGTAGATGGACAAGGTGAGCAGAAGCATAGAAAACAGTTCTCCAAACTGAGAAATGTAGAGATGGAAGCATACAATGTATCTAATGAGCCCAAATAATTCATCTGCCCAGTGAAGAGACACAGATGCAGCCAGCCCACTTAACCTTACCCATGTTCACAAGTCAACTAGTGGTAAAGCAAGGACTCTAAGGAACCTCTCAGTGCTCTAGGTCTCACTTTCCACACACTGAAAACAGACTCCTAACACATGTCCCCAAGCTCAGCCGTCACACCATACCTTGGAGTATGCTCTTCACTATAACTTCTGTGTGATCAGCCAGGAGATCCGCCTTGGTGATGGCAGCCAGGGACAAGTAGTTGGACATATTTCTGCACAGTTCCTTGTTGCTTCTGTGGAGGAATTTCACCGCAATGGGGATGGCTAGTGCCATCACAGGGGGCCGGTTGTAATTCTGAGGAAATGCAAGAAAACAACATATGGCAAGAGGCTCATTATTTATTTATTCATCCAAGAAATATTTCTTGAGCTAAGCTCTCAAAGTGCAGGCATTAAAACAAAGGCTTCCACCCTGCTTTCATTGAATTTGGGAATTCTTGTCCTTATTAGGGAGACTTAAGGGCAAACAGGCAATATATAGCATAGGCCAGTGGTCGGCAAACTCATTAGTCAACAGAGCCAAATATCAACAGTACAATGATTGAAATTTCTTTTGAGAGCCAAATTTTTTAAACTTAAATGTCTAACACCACTTCTCCAAAATAGACTCTCCCAGGCTGTGGTATTTTGTGGAAGAGCCAGACTCAAGGGGCCAAAGAGCCCCATGTGGCTCGCGAGCCGCAGTTTGCCAACCACAGAAATAGGCTAATGAGAGTCACATTAGGCAAAGTGTAAGGTACTAATCAAGCAAAGAAGGAGAACCTAACCCAGTGTTGCAGGTGGTGTCTGGAAAGACTTCATGGAGGGGGTGATGTCTTAGTTGAGATCTAGTGGATGAATAAGGGATGTCTGGGTGGTGGCAAGAAAAAAGGGTGAACAGAAGGAAAAGCACATCTGGAGGCACAGGGGTGAGAGAGGTTGTGCATTTGGGTAACTGTAAATCGTTCAGTATGGCTGGAGTGTGGTACATGTGGAAAAATTGGGAGGTGAGAGAAGGGACTGCGGAGGTAAACGGGTATAATGATAAAAGGAGTTTCTAATTGATCATTATTAGGATGATCAGGAGTCATTGATGAGAGAGTAACATCAGATTGATGCTGAAGAAATTGCTTTCTAACTGTATCTTAAAAACTGAAGTTTCAGTAAATGAAATTCAGAAGAAAAAAAAATGAATGAACAGAAGACTAAAATATAAAGCAAATTTGATCCTAAAATAATTATCTTCTTGATTTACTTTGTCATTGAACATTAGTATCTTACACATAATAAATTTATCAAATTAATTACCTAATTTGAGAATAATATTTGAAAAATACAAGTTATCGGGTCTAGTAATAATTAATGTCGTTTTTAAACATTCGTTTAAAATCTTGCTTGGCGTTGACTTGTATTGACATAACCTTCAAACACGTGGTATCTACAGAACGTGTGAAGTGCAATTAACAAGTTTTGCTTGAAAAAGTTTGTGTTTGGTTTGGTTTTTGTTGCAAAACTAGGCTAAGAAGATGGCAGATGAAGAGCATATTCGGCACTGCATGCTTTACGAGTTCCAATTAGGAAGAAAAGCAAGTGAGGCTGCAGAAAACATCTGTAGTGCTCTTGGTCAAGATGCAGTTAGCGCCAGAAAATGCCAGTGTTGGTTTGAGAAATTTCGCGAGAGAAATTTTTCGTTAGATGACAAGAGTGGTCGAGGCCGTGTGTCCAATTTTGATCAAGAAGCTCTTCAAGCTCTTTTGGTGCAAAATCCTCAAATTCAATACCCAACAAGAGCTTGCGACAACTTTAAATTGTTCACAAAAAACAATTTCCAATCAATTGCGTGCACTTGGCAAAGTCCAAAAGTTTGGAAAATGGGTTCCTCATGAGTTGACCGACAACAACCGTAATCCTAGAGTCACAATTTGCAGTTCGCTCCTCTCTCGTCAAAACCGTTTGCTGTTTTTAGAGCAAATTGTTACCGGAGATGAAGAATGGGTGCTGCATCTTAATTTGAAAAGGTGGCCTCAATGGTTGGACAAAAATGAGGCTCCGCAGCCCACGCCAAAACCTGACTTGCATGCGAAAAAAGTGAAGTTGTGTGTTTGGTGGAATTTTAAAGGAATTCTTCATTATGAACTTTTACCATCTAACCAAACCATTACAAGTGCAGTGTATAGTGCCCAATTGGAAAGGTTAGCCCAAGCTTTAAGAGAAAAAGAACCCGCGCTGATTAATCGGAAGGGCGTAATTCTTCACCACGATAACGCACGACCGCATACTGCAAGAATCACTGCTGAAAAACTGCGCCAGTTGGAATGGGAAGTTCTCCCTCAACCTGCATATTCTCCTGATATTGCCCCTTCCGATTACCATTTGTTTCGTTCTTTGCAAAACTTTCTTCTTGCAAAAAAATTTAATAATGAAGAATGCCTCAAAAATGCATTGACCGAATTTTTTGCATCAAAATCACAAGAATTTTACAACAGAGGAATTAAAATGCTTCCTGAGAGTTGGGCACAAGTAGTAGAAAACAACGGCAACTATATTGTTGATTAAATTTTGTTGTATTGTTTAAATAAATTCAATTTTAAAAAGTATTAGAAAACGACATTAATTATTACTAGACCTAATATTTTCTTAAAAGTGTATGGTATGTCTTCACTACCATCAACCATTCTGAGCATTCTACCCCTTAGGGTAAATATAAAGCAAAACTTTATATTTATTAATGTCTTTGGGAAGCTGACTTTATATTATATTAGAAATAAAAAGTGGTTGTTTTTCTCAAACTGCTAACATTAAAAGTGCTATATCTTTCCACATTGAATTATCCTCTCTAATACCACCCACAATTCTGGGTTTATGGTAGATGTTTGTCAAATTGAATGACTAATGAAAAACATGTTATAGTTGTCATTGAGAACATAATGTGGTAGGAAAGGAGGAGTGGTGGCATCTTCCCTTTTGCTGGCATCACCCATGGACAGCGATGGTCCAGTGTGAGCCCAGCACCCCTGTGCCATTCATTTTCACAGATGATTGTTTGGACAAATGAGTTGATACACACATCTTAGCAGATGCCAGCTTCTACAGCCACCTTCTCAGGTACTTCTAATGCAGACATTCTGCCCTTGACTTCAAGGATTGTCAAATGACTCAGACTCAGAAATTTACATTTTTCCTGGTCCAAATGATGGGTTCAGGGATGAGCAAGTTATTCAATATAATTAAGGAACCATTAAGGGCTCTGTGAAACAGATTCTATTTTCTGAAGGGTTCAAGGTATTGAGAATGCATAGTGGAGTAGCTGCTACCTTCTTGTGACCTCAGATTTGTTTGACATTCAAGGCAATATGGTCCTATCAGAGAGACAAGTTAAGAAAAACCAGGTCCTGGATGATATCATTTGAGCCCCATGCGTTAGATTGTACCTTTGGCCAGTTCTAGCCCTAAATTTCTTAATGTGAACCAGTTAAGTCTCTTGTGCTTAAGCTTTACTTTCCTCACCCAGTCCCTAGAAACAAAAATAGACCTGCTAAACCCTTAATCTCTTCTTGTAGTTTCACCCATTTTTCAGACTCAAGGGTCAATCTGACTTCTGAACAGAGACAATAGATATTCAACAACATAATCTGACATTCCACCATGAAGTCAGCCATACTGAATACTCTGACACCGTTCCTTGGTTACAAATCATGCCTATATAGCAGTTGCACTTACTGCGTCTCTGTCCTAACGTCTTAAGAGTTCCCAACACTATATAACTATCAAGACCACGGCCAGCAGCCTTACTTCTCTGATACTAGGCTCTTCCTTTATCTAGTGTCTCCCCACTTGGTGAATTTAATTGGGCCTGATTGGGCTAGGTCATACTGGTATGATGGATGAACTATGAGGCCTCCTTGAGAGGCTGGCTGTTCCCCTCATGTTAGCTTTGGAATTCTGGGTGTGTGCATGATCAGCCACACAGAATTCTTGGATCCTCTGACACTAACTTTTATCAAAGGATTTACAAAAGCCTGGTGCATAATCAGTCAGGCCAATATATTCATCCACATAAGGGTGTCTTCCAGGTCACACATAGGGTAACCTTTTTACATTATTGGAAATCAGAAACCAGATTACTAACCAAAATTTTCACTCATGCGCACAAGATCAGATGGGAACAAAGAAAGATACTGAGGGATATTTCATCTAGACCAGTGGTTGGCAAGCTTATCAACCACTGGTCTAGATGAAATATCCCTCAGTATCAACAGAGCGGCAACTGTGGCTCGCAGTTTGCCAACCACTGATCTAGACCATGTGAAACCTAACTAAAATAACATTTCTGCACTATAGCCAAATCACCATCTCTAGTGACTGGAGCTTTCCTGTTCATCAGATTCAATCTCTACCCCCTGGGCAGAGCTGGATAAATGTGCCAAATCAATGATCCTCTGCTGAGCATCCTCTTTTGTTGTTGACTTATCCTTCAGACATGTAGTGTTTAGAAAGGCCAATTTATGTGTCCATTTTCTCATTTATAATATTTTATCCCTGTTTCCTTGAGGTTATATTAATATTACCTCAATTAGAGCATTGGATGTTTTCCAAACATCTCATCTTACTTATATAATTTCTTGGGTTGTCCCCATAGACAGCCAATTTCTCCATTCTGCGTAGACTATTGCTAATTTAACTTTTAGGTGACACATCTTTGTCCCTGTGATGGCCGAACAAAGCCCTCATTTTGAGAGTAGAACATAATCAGACTATTCTTCTCAGAGCTCTCCTATAATGAACTGCAGACCCAAGTCTTCTTTATCTGCTCTGAGTCCTTAGCCAAGGATAATTTGCAGCTAGAGAAGTCCACGTCTTCCATTAGACTCTAATGATTAAAGGATTATGCCCCTAAGCACTTTACCTGCAACTTGCTGAGAAACCACAGTTGGCAGCATTGGGAAGTACAGCTCAGGTGTTTCCAACTAATTGTGAACACAGGCACAGGGAAAGGTCCAGGGAATTCAGTATTATCAGCAACTAACATTTTCGCACCTTGGACATGGACTGACACTTGTCAGCAACAATGAAATAACATGATGTCTTAGCCAATTTGTTCATATTCTTTTTACCACAATTCTAGGCATTCTTGAGGAAAAGAGTGGGGAGCTGTTAAAGTTTTTAAAGCATAGTTCCAAGGGAAATGTATAAAATTCCCTGAAAACTGTATAATATCATTATTTAACACACACACACAAAACAAAACACGCACACACACACACACACACACACACACACACACAAAACAACTTTAATACACTTAATTTTTCTGTT